AAATAGAGTGTAATAATTCTTTGCATTTCTACAGTGCTTTTCATCTGAAAGGAATCAGTGTAATAATCCTTTGCTTCACATACAGTATAAGAGGGGACCCTCATTTTGAACCACTAAGATGCACCCCCACCTGGGTGACACACAGATGTCATTATGCTTGAGCTGCCCCAATGCACAGCAGAAGAGTGAGAACTCCTGTCAGTTGAATTAAGGCGGATTTTTATTGAGGCCAGATTGTACATACCCAGGGTAGAATGTCAGGATAGTCTTACAAACAGTTCCATGGGATCTTTAATGACAGAGTAGTCAAGATATTGGGTTCTGGGTATTGGCCACCATACTAGGGCATTGGTTTTTGGATATTCAGGTCTAGATGACACAGCACCTCCTACTGGTCCACTAACAGCTAACCTTATTTGCCTTGCAGCATAAATATAAAAGAATATTATTTTCAAGCACGGAAGACTTTTGATAAAGTCATATCTTTTACAGTCTTGATTTTAAAGAAACAACTGTTTTTTCTCCCTCAAACTGTATAAATAGTAACTGTCTACTTTAACTTTACTTTAGCTTCTCATTTAAAATCTACCTGCATTTATTGAATGGGTAGTCAGCTTTTTTAGTGTATTAAACTGTATAAGCGTGTTGCTCCTGCCTTTTCTAAATGAGAACACGTCTTTATTTAATATATACACAGTGCATGAGCTTTCCAAACAAAAAAAACTAAATGTATTGAAGGAACTTTCAAGCTTGATGATTACCCTAGAACCAATTTCACCTCACAGGGGACAATAACACAGATTAATATGTTTCAATTCTTACTGGCTATTATCAGTGGATCTCCATTATTGAATTGTTCCTTTAACAGCAGGCAATCCAAAACCTAAAATTATAATATGTAATTACATAGCAACGTATACGGTGTAGATTTTATCACTAAACTAGTGCTGTACAGTCTTTGCAACACTCCACCACATTCATATTGAAGCAATCATTGAAGTACAATGAGCTTTTAGACTATAAAATCCTTGCTCCTACAGTATGCACTCCAAGTAACTGCCAAAACCCTGCTGTGAAGCCATAATCGTACAATGAACCAGGTTCTTTTCCAATCACAATAATATTAAGAGTTCAGCGAATAATAGCTGGCGAAATTCTTACGTTCAAGTGCAGAGTGAAGAATCTACTCCCTGTGACACTGAACCCTAGAAAAGGGAAAGGAAATAGGCTTGGGAAATTTTCAGAACTGTTTCTCAAAGGCCTCTCATTACAGTTTGGTGCACACATTTATCTTTAGGCCTATTCAATCTAACTATATCACAAAGAACCTCAAAGACATATTCTGAGGTTGAAAGCAGACAGTGACCAAAATAGCAAAGTCCAATGTCTCATAGCATAAGCAAGATCCTTATTTGCCCAGATGACTCTTTTTGCCCCTTCCAAGACAGTTAAAATTGTCTAATGGCTAACCATATTTATACTGGGATTATACAACCACCAACTGCAGTTCCTGGCAGAGGGAGATCTTAATTATTCTCTGTTGCTGCAGTGTGGCTAGCTCTGTTTTATAGGAACATGGTGACCTGCTATTCTTCTTGCTTGCCACTCAACCAAAAGAAGGCTCTCTCAATGCCAAGGCATTGCAGCAAGATGGCACAGCAATCTGTCAGCAAACAAGGGCTATTAACTGGGTCTGTGCTCCTATTAGTTTCCCATTATGAGAAGCACGGGTTCCTGGTGGGTTACAGTCAGTAGAACAACACGTTACACAGCGAGCCATGTGACTGGACAGGCAGTGGTTTGAGCCAGGAGTTCCCAGCCTTGGTTAGGGACATGCAGAACGACACACTGCTGCAGGGAGCAGAGGAGGAAGGAGGCTGAGGCTGATCTGTCGGGCTGTGTCACGCACAAACCCTCAAGGGAGCATGGGAAACCCTCAGCACTCAGCACAGTTGTCATGAGTGTGGTGGCTAGTCAAATAGTTAAATCTGAAAAAGGAACCTCCACCGATCATTGCCCTTGGAAAAAATGAAAAGTGAACTAAAACTTGAATGGTGCTTTACAGTTTACAGGGGAGGGTGGGGGGTGGGAGAGAGGGATAGACTGAAATGTTTAATTAATTTAAAAAGTGAAACAGCAACATAATAGAAACTGTAGAGATGCCTGAACTTTGACAGATCGACACTTTCTCATTCAGTAAAGGGCTATAAAGGACAATTCACCAAAAAGGACCGATTAAATACCCTAGAATTAGATCAAGTCCATTCATTCGCAGCTCATCTTAACATCAAATTCCAAATGTCATTTAGAAGTGTAAAAGTTTTAGTCTGCTATTCACAAACGTCTGAAAGTTAAAACTTAAACAAAAAGGCTATGGTGCACATGTAATAGAAAAACAAATGGGTCATTCAATAACCATTTTTTAAAAGACACAAAATATGGCCTGTACTCCAGCAGGCTTTTGTATGTTAATTTAAGATATAAACAGCCCTACGCCTGGGAGACATGCTAAACTGAAGGTTTAATTAAAGTTGAATTGGTCCAGTTTACTCTCTACAGCCTCGAGCTGCTGACAATTTAGAGATAGTTAGAAAACCTTCTGGATGCTGAGCCCTGAGGTCTAGAGTTTGGAACTCCTGGTAGAAATTAAAGTCTGGAAGATGGGAACTGTAATCAATTGCATTTCTACAGCACACTTAATTCCAATGGCTCCAGAATGATCCATTTCTTACACTGCTAAACGGGTATTTCTCACCTGAATGGGGGGAGATATCAACCATTGGTCTATTAATAAATCATTGTCCTAGATATATACAGTAGAGGCATAGATAAAACCCTGTTCCTAAAACAAGAACTGGTTCACTCACTCTATAGTATTGTAATGGCTGCACGCAGAAGCCAGGACTGGACTGTTCTGAAATACAAAAATATCCATTCTCTATAATCAGCAAATCACGTAGAAGGAAATAATACTTGATGGAATATCAGTAAAGCGCAGGAAAAGAATCAGTGATTCACAGCTCTACGTGAACTCCAAACTCAGTTAAAAAGAAAATTCTGTAAGGTTGATTTGAACAGAGCAGACTACAAGAGGCTTAAAGTATTCAAAATCCTCAAAGGTATGGGCTTAACAGTATAAACACAAACCAGAGGACACAAGTGGAAACTAAGGGGAATTGCACTTAAAAATGAGAACAGGAGGCACTTGTTTGCACAAAGGGATGTGGAAGCCAGCTACCCAGCCATGTGCTGAAGCGATTCACTGACATCTTTCAAAGAGGGGCTGGATGAGAACCTCCTTTGATCAATTAGCAATCAAAGAAACCAGATGGGCTGAGTTGCTACCCCTTTGTATTTCTCAACTATGAAACACAAAAATCAAGCATTTTCAGAGAGGGCTGTATCACTCTTCCTGCTGATGCTGTCTGCTGTGGGCTAGATGGGGTCTGGCAGTGTGAGAAAAACAGTGGGTGACTCTCAGAGTGTTTGAGAGGAAAGCCTGCATGATCTGCTTTCCTTCCATGCTGGTACAGAGTACAAAGTGGGATGAGGTCATTTACATCTGACAGTTCCAATTCGGGGTACTCGAGGAGAAAGAGTAACCAGAAATTCTAAATTAATATTGATCATTTATCATTTCTCTATTAAGTAACCTTCTGTCCTGCAACCTTGTAACAAAATGCCTTTGTTTGTATTCATGACGAGTGAGTCAGTATTGTCATTGTTCACGTCACACATTCTAAAAACTAAACCATTGAGTAAGAAATGACACTGTATCTATATAAACGTCACATAACTAACATTTATATAGATACAGAAGCATAAAGAAGCTAATTATATGAAATACACTCTTAGCTAGGGATCTCCAAACCTGGTCCTAGAAAACTCCAATCCAGTGCATTTGATACTGTAGGTAGCCATTAAAGACCTGGAATGGTTTTATTAAGGCAGCTTGTCAAATTATAATACATGTGTAGCAAGAATATGATTGTCCTGATTATTGTATTGTATCTGATTATGAAATGACTTGCTTAATCAATAGACAATTAACAATAATTCTCACATTTTGAAACTGGTGATTTAGAGTGGCCAATAAAATAAGAACAGGGCTCCACAAACACAAATATGCTCCTGATACAATAATAAACAATAAGATACAATAATAACAGGAGACCTGAAAATGACCTTTCACTGGCTGACTTAAACAGATAAACCCTGGGCTGGTCTGACCTATACCTCAATGGTCACACCCGAAGGTCTTTTTTTTTCTTTAGAAAAAGTCTTTTCTGTGAAAAGTAAATGTGTTTATCCTCTTTAACAGCCTTGCGAATGAATGGAGCCTTTTTTAAAAGGGTTATCTAACAAGACACACTGAATAATGCTGACTTAGAAGTGCACCTTTCCCAACATTGATGGTTCTGTGGAATGGAAGCCATTTTTTCAGTGAGGGCTTTCAAGTCCCGCCTCCACTCACATATGGGATCAACTTTAAAAATAAAATAAAAAGAGAGAGCGTTTGTGTGTGAGTGAGAGAGAGAGAGAGAGGGAGAGAGAGAGAAACATCTATTGAATATGAGAGCTGGCACTGCTAACTCTAATGAGCTTAAGATTATGATACTATCAAGTGGTAACTGAGGGTGGAGAGTTGGTTTGCAGGACTAAACCACGAGTGCTTACAAATACAGATGCGCTTTGAGTCACACCCCTGAGTGAGGAGGCAATCATACACACAAAGCGGATTCCTGCTCTGGCTGCAAACTGAGACTGGTCTTCTTCTGTCGGACGGCTTATGCAAGTTGAATTATTTCTAGTTCTTCAAAATTTTTCACCACTTGAAAGTCCGGGTGACACAAGTAGGCCAGTGTTCCTAAAAGCCACCAAACCTGGGTAGCCAATCAAAAAGAGGAGTCAGGGGAAAAAAAAAAACAAAACAGATGCAGAGAGGAGGCCTGGTGACCTCACATGACATGTGACCCAGGTTCTTCCAGTCAGCGAGTGACTAGCTGGATACTTTTTGAGTCGTTTTTGCAGGGTTTTGAGTTAACACTCTTGACAGGCCTCACACACAACCACAGAACCACAAGCGTGGTGCAACCTACATTTTAGACGAGCACCTGAACCTCAACGGACAATTTTTTTAACAAGTTGCCACCAGACAACATCCCGGCCAAGTCTGGTAAGTCCAGCCTCAGTTACTTTTTTGGTGTGGGACGTCTCTCTTGCAGGCTTACACTGTGGCTACTCTCTCCTCTGCCTCTTTTTTATTTTTTGCTTCTGATGCTGCTAACATATGCTGCTCTTGGAGGCTTGTGGCTGATCATTCCTGTGGCAGTGCAAACCCAAATTCTTGGTCACAAACAGACTCTGAGTTTCCTCTGGGATTTTTCTTTGCCTTCTTTTCAGCACAACATTCTTCAACAGTGGCGCAAACCACAAAAGGTTCTAGCATCGGCGTGCTCAATAAAGCCATGGCGTCCAATAGCATATTCGACTCCTTCTCAAACTATTCGTCGGGATTCTTGCGTGGTAAGTTAAGAGTCCCAACTTTTTTTTTCCTCTTTGATGATGTGGTGCTCAGTGCGAAGCAAAAAGAAAAAGCCGTTGCCTCAATCTTGAGTACATCAAATTGTAAACCATTCTAGTAGTCTTGTTTGCACTTTGTCAACTCAGTGCCTCCCTGAATTAGCAGCAAAAGTGAGAATAGCTCAATACAGAACCACTGTCAGCAAGCTGTGAGAATAACACATTTAAAAGTGAGACTTTGCCTGCTAAGGCAGACACTCTTAGCTAGACATCATCAGATCCAGGACAGTGGCAAAGGAGGAAAGTATTCTAAATTAAAATCTTTATTTCATCCTTATCAGTCAAATAAAGGAGTTTGCTTTCTGCATGTTTGATATAGCACTCACACTACAGAGTCACTTTTACCACAACATTAATCTCTTGAATCACTTATTTCCAGTTAACAGCTGTACAATGTGAGGGAGTGTTGGGACTGTTGTAAGTGTCTCTGTGTTAAACCAAATGCACAAAAAAAAAAGAGATCACAGCCTTCAACTCATTTTTGTCAAGTTGCGGAAAGTTGGGAGGCAGTTATAACAAACACGGCCTGTACAAAGAAAGGTTTCTCAGAACCATCTTATATGGCAGTGTGCCTTTCCCCTGGTTTCCATAGCAACACAAAACTTACTTTCCTGAAATTCAAATGACTCTGCAGGAGAGTTGAAAATATCCAGGACTAGACTGAAATTTTAAATATTTTTAACTGTAAATGCGCGCTTTTGGTGATGAGTAGAGCACTGTTTTACGTAAATATGTTCCAATTTTACTAAATCAGTCAGCATGGCTCAGAAGAGCTGGAGGATAAATGTGGAATTTCACAGCTGATCTGAAACAAGCATTAAAAGAACCTTATGAGAAGTGGAACTCCAGTTAATGGTTTCTAGCAGTCCCTGCAGTATGTAATACAACGTAACTTGTCACTTGTCAAGGAGCATGGATGAGCTGAGAGAAACTGCCACCTATGCTGAAACATAAGGTTTTACAGTGTGTTCTGAAAGTTATCTGACAGGCTTGTATGTGTGAGAGAGAGTGTGAAATAATGGCCGGATACAGTATATTGCATGTTGTTCCAGCGTCTTTTACTGCTAAAAGTCATGTTTTGGATATTTAAGCATTTCAATAATTAAGTGAAAAAGATTTATTTCTAGGAACATAAAGTAAAATGTTACTATACATATAGTGGAAAACGCAGACTGAGAACTGGAGAAACAACATTCAAGTAGCTTTCAAAACGTTTTGCAACTTCAAAACATTTGCACTCTTCTAAATGTGGTCTTAGCTCTAAGTTAATTAAAGGCAGCTCTTGAGAAACAGCATTACATCAAAATTGTTTGCAGAATACTTTTCAAACGCTTGGAGTTCTTTCTGTCATCCACATGAGAGCCTTTTAGTGGATTACCAGTAACATGGCTTTAAGACCCATATGGGAATATAATACAAAAAAGTTTAGAATTTATTTATTATAAGTACAGGCCTTTCATCCCATTTCAAGCATTCTTTTTTACAGATCTTGCTTTGTTTCTGTGCGTACCAGCCTGACGTCACTCTCTGTGCTGACACAAAATTAAAATACATTTGATCTTGATAAGAGCAAGAATTTACCCCCAATAAACATCACTGAAAATATAGTCACAAAGGGGTGGCCTTTGCAGTCAGGTTAGCGAGATAAATTAGCTGCAAGTAACAGTGAAAGTTCTATGAAAGGTTGAATTAAGTTAATTGTAGATTCAGTATGGACATTCTTTAATTCTTAAATGGTTAAACTTCCTTTACGAAAAAAGAAAAAATGCACAATTAAGGTAATGGAAAACATGGATATACATTGTTATTAAATGTTTAAAAACTTGAGAGGATTTGCAATTCACTAGCATGTTATGTTAAGCCATGGTACGTCAAATACAACATGCATTTCAAATGCAACCAAACGTTAGCAGAATTAAAAAAAAGAAGACTTAACTGATGCTGCTGGTTAGTTTCTACATTATTTCATTCACAGGCTGCCTCTTAAAGGCAAAATAACCTAATTGATCATTTAGCCACACTTGAAGACAAATTTCACTACTTGTACGATTGAGGCAAGTAGTTTGTAGTATTCACAAAAAAGTGAAGAGGCACTGGGAATGTTATAAGACTAAAATCTGGATTTCTTTAGACTGCACAGATTTCTATCACTGAAAATACCAAAAAGAAAACAGCCACAAATGATCAAAAAGCTGTTACGCTAGCACTAGCTCTGGATGTTACTAATAGGAAGGTCTGAGCTACTTTTTCATTGAAAACGGGCTCCTTGTGAACAAATCTTTCCTTTTAGAGGTCTTTGTGGAGTCATAATACGAATAATATTTCTCCAATGTCTTTGACTGATTGATTAAGAACATGTAGTAACAATCAGGATGATGTGTTTCACTGAAGCAGCATGGTTTCTGCACGTTTTTTTAGATCTGGGATATGAGAAAATTAATACTGTGTTTAGGAGGTACTGTAGGCTGCCATATTACATTCAAATAGTAATGTTATTATTTTAAGGTTTCTTCATATTGTGTTTTGTTGGCACGTGTGAAATCTTAGAATTGTTTCAGCAAGACATATTTTCAAAATTACAGACACATTGATTCCAATAAAGAGTTTTAGAGCTGTCACACCACACTCTGTATGCCCTGCACCCTTGATCTGGATGAAGCGGTCACAAAATGGAGGGATGGATTTTAGGATGGCTTTTCCTAGATTAGTTATGTAAACCTGTTTGAATTTCTTCAAGAACTGAAAGTACGAAATGTCATTTATGGAAACAATATATCCGGTTTTGTATCGGTCCTAAAATGTTAGGGCTACTACAAGTAAGATTTTAAGAATGTATTGAAAGAATTAAAAATCATAGAACATTTTTTACAAAAATCCTGTTTATGTATAAAGACTCCAAACTGTTACGGCAAAAAAGGACATCACAAATTTGTAAAACAATGATGGTTGCGTTTTTCCCATATTTCTTCCCTCAGTCTGATTATTCTTCTTGGTGAAGTGCTAGGCGGATGATTTTGAATGACTGTCACGAACAGACAGATGGATAGTCAAAGTGCTGGAGGCATCAATGGGATCTCAGGGTATCTGAGATTCACAAACGTGATAGCGGTTCACTGTTCCAACTTCCAGTAGATAAATCCAGTAGATCCATAGTTGAAAAGAGCAGAGGAAGGCCCTTAATCATATGTAAAAGACAAAACCTTTCTTTCCTTTTCATTCAATTTTTTGCACACCACATTAACCTCCTCTGAAACCAAGATAGGTAGATAGATTCCTAGGATGTCGTGACTGCAAAGAACAATAAGCTTTCATAGTCAATCCGGGATTTAGCATGTTAGAAAGGGACTGCAGAATGTGAAAGAGGTTTGCAAAAAGGAAACATGATTCAACTTTTTTTTTGTGAGCTATGACTGATCGATGGAAATACTCTTGACACCTCTGAAATTACTCTAATGTCAACATCCAACGTCCAGTGCTCTCTCATATTTTCCTATCAGTTCCAGTAGAGCAAAGATGATAGCCTCCAAAGTCCTAAACTTTGAAAGTTGTCGTTTAAGAAACATTGTGAAAATATTGTGCCAATGGAAATCTGCTATATGATATGCTCTGTATTGTTAATGTGAAACAACTTGCAGTATGCTGAACGATGTGTTTGGCTAGTTGCTGGATCTTAACATGGTGAATCCATTAGGCGTTGGATTTAAACAGTCAATTTCTGGGTTGTTTTCCAAAACTTAAGTTCCCCTTTCTTGTGAAATTTCAGACAGTTTCAGTTATTACCTTACCTAACTTAGGATGAGGTTGGGTGGGTGCAAACATGTTCATTTATCTCTGACCGCGCTGCACTAACGGAACTTTCATTCATTACTGTTTTTTTTAAAGTGTTAAACGCAGATATTTTGTAGTTTTATCTAAATATACAGGAATCCTATTTTGAAATACTTAAACACAGACAATCCAGCATCTAAACTGTCTTTTTTTGGCACCAATACAGTGGTACATCCCAAAAGTTTGATTAGAGACCAACCCACTAAATATTTACCTCCTTTTCAATGTTACAAAAGCATCTGCCCTGCACTGAAACTGAACAACAAACAGCATTGAATTAATACTGTTTTAACTAAATTTCTCAAGAACGTCCTTTTCAGCTAAATTATAAAAATCCCATCTTATAGATACAATACGTACAGTAATATACTATATATCTATACACATTTTTCAGAAACATGATGAACATGATAACCATTAACAAAAAGAAACAAACAAAATGATACTTTCGGTACAAATGAAAGCTCAATTCTAATTTAGAAACTTAGTGCCCTCAAGTTTGGCTGCGAATCTCTTTTTCCCAGCAACTGATTAGCTCGTATGAAAAGACCAGTTCCTTCACATTCTTACCAGTTGTGAGATTATTTGCAGGTATTGCCTTATTGCCCTATTTTATGACCCACTTAATGTCTGCACTTAATATTGTTTTAACATATGTAATATAATACTTTATTATATTGGAAAGATCTATAGAATATAGAATATAGATCTATAGAAGATTTTCCAATTATCTCTATAACATACAAAATATACAACAATAAGAAAAATATTTCATTTATAAAGCGCCTTTCCAATCCCAAGAACACAAACAATGTATAACAATTGTTTATGACCAAAAATCTCTATAATATCTTTCTAATTAATTTTGGTAATAGCCAATTTATCTAAATATTATTCTAAATTATTCATTTATTATCTAATTAATATTTTATAATAGTTCCAACAATATTAAAAATACATCAAAATCAACATTGATTTTGCAGTCTGATTCACCAATCTTATTTGTAGTTAGCATTTGATAAACTGCGGATGGGATATACAATATATGTCATGACAATCACAGAGAAGTGAGATCTTATTTTAAAACTGACCCACAACAAGCTGAGTCTCCTTAC